CCAGATTTCTCAGAAATTGTTAGAAATTTCCATGCTTCGAGGGTTAATGAAGACGCCATTAAATTGCGATTATTTCCATATACACTGAGAGATGCTCCATTGGAGTAGTTAGATGCCGAACCTCGCGGAAGCATTACTACATGGGAAGAACTGATCAGAAAATTTTGCAACAAATTCTTCCCACCGTCAAAAGTAGCAAAAATTAAATTGAAAATTCAAACTTTCCAACAAAAACATGAGAGAGCTATCACGAGGTATGGAACAGATTTAAAGAGCTGATGCGAAAGTGTTCAAATCATGGAATCACAATAGGAAATCAAGTGCAATACTTCTACATCGGACTCTCACCACTATCAAAATCTCAGGTGGATTCCTCTGCCGGTGGATAGATCATAGGAAATTGGTGCAACAAACCTTGGAAAAGAGTGAAAAAAATAAGTTTGGGAGTGTGTGAATCTTACGAGTGATAAAAGAATATATTTGACCATTGAGAATCGGGAATTGAAACAACTTATGAATTCATAATGATATGCTTAATTCTTCTCACACACACGTCAATTTTACATTAGAAAAGTGGATTTTTATTTTGTATTGTAATTTTGAAACTGTGCATAGATTTGTTATTATGATTTCAATTCCAAGATAAAAAGTCAGGTTAGCTAGCTAAATCTTGTTGCTTTACTTGATTAACTGGCCACAAATTTGGTAATTAGCATGACATGTTTGTGTGTTTGTTAGGTTTTAGTTTTGTTTGATAACAAACAAAGATTCAAGTTTAGGGGTGTGATAACTGTAGTTTATACACTTTTCATGGCCTTAAATTATGATACTTTATTGTCTTTTTGATTAAATTCTACATAATTTATTTTATAATGTGTTTTGTACGTAAAATTTTATGTTTAACGAAGAATTGGAGAAAAGAATGCAAAAGTGGCGAAAAATGACAAAATTCAAAGATGGATTCCTTGGAAAGAAATAATATATTAAATGGATTGGAATTAAATGAGCCTCAATAGACTTGGATTGAAAATTTTAACTGGAGGCCCAAACTAAACCTATATATATATATATATATATTAAAAATCGAGGGAGAGATAGGCACAGGGCAACAAGCGTAGAAAAGAAAAGCCAGGAAAAAGAAGAGAGAGAGAGAGAGGGAGAAAAGAAAAGAAAAGTCAACTCAACGGCAGGAAAGAAAGCCAGGAAAGGAGGAAAAGAAAAGAAAAAGACAGAGAACTGCAAACGCCAAAAAATTTCACATTTGATCAATTTTTGGTGATTTCTTTCAACTTTTACTCGTTTTTATTTTTATAATATGAATAACTAATTTTTATATTTGGAAAAACAATTTAGTTGACTTTTGATCCTTTATTTTTTTATTCAAGATTTATGTGATTTATTTATATATGTGTTGGTTTTATTATGAGTTTAATGCATTAAATTATTTGATCAATAATTTGATGATTATATAAGTATCTTACGAATCTAGAGGTGGGTTTGAAATCTAGACCATATAATAAAATTTGGTAAATTAGTATAACGTGTAGAGATACATATACTAATTATTGCGGTCATAATATGAATTCTTAGAACTAGTGTTTCGTTTAACTAAGGTTGATTCACATATAGATTTGGAATTGAATTAATTAAATAGGCACAATGAG